TATAAAGGAATTTCATATCTGCTTCAAGTCCTTCTCAGGTTTCCAAATGACTGATTCTAGAAATATTGTCATAATATGACATTGTCCTTTCTGACCTTTACTTGTTGAGCTAAAAAAAATGAAGTAGTGTTTGTATGTATACATAATGTTGTTCCTACAATGGCACAAACCCCATACTGAATTTTATTCTTGTTCATTGGCTCTCTTATTGGCAAGGTTATGAGTAGGGTGAAGATTATAAAGAAAGCCAAACTCTCCCCTCAACCCTAGGGATGCCCTGTCAAGTTCAGAGGTGAGGATCAAGCCACCTAACTTTGAACTATGTGGTTTAGTAAAAACTGGCCACAGAAGAAACCTTGTTCAAAGTGCCCTAAATTTATTAAGGTTTGCCATATTAAAAAAAAAAAAAAAAAAATTCTCAACCCCCAAATTCTTAGAAACAACAAATTTAAGTTACTTTCCTCTGGCAATCTCCAAAAAGAAATGGCTCAGTTCACTCACTGGTTGAATTAACTCATTGTCATAAGCTATAAGGTAGTGCCTGAGCCTAGCCACTGCAGTTTGTAAACCACCATTTATGGCTTAGTATATTTGTTAAGAAAGCAAATCATGAATTAAGGGAGCCATACCTTAATGCCCAGTCCATATGGAATCAAACTGAGAATGAGGATGATGAGATTTATTATAATACTTTGATATTAATATTTTGATGGCCCAATGGTATTGTAGCATCCAGCTACAACTGCTATCCCTTGGTATTGCTGTAGCCAGCTTGTGTCCTCCAGATGTGTTAGGCCTGTGGCTCTCAGTATTTCCAGCTGGATGACCCTGAACTGGGAGGTTGCAGTCCCAATGCATCCGGGGGTGCCATGATCTGTAGTAGGCTCTTTTATTTAGTTCTCCCATTACTGTTATATAGAACTAGGCTTAATCATTTTTAAAAGATATTCAAGTTTTTCTAGGCCTATTGGAACTAATCTGATAAGTTTTAAAATAAACTTTCCTCTTAATTTGTTTAGTGACCATTCAAAGTTATGATAGTGCTGAAAAAAGCAACTTATGACTGGTCCTCGCACTTACAACCATTGCAGCATCCCTGCAGTCACGTAATCAAAATTGGGTGCTTGGCAACTGGCATATATTTACAATGGTTGCAGCATCCCAGGGTCACATGATTGCCATTTGCAACCATCCCAGCTGGCTTCCAAAAAGCAAAATCAGTGGGGAACCACGTGATTCACTTGATCACGTAATTCACTTAACAGTCATGTGATTCACTTAATGACTGCAGAGATTTGCTTAACAACCACCACAAAAAAATGTAAAATTGGTTGCAGTCACATGATGCCTCACTTAATGACCACACTGCTTAACTATGAATTTTCTGGTCCCTATTGTGGTCATAAATTGAGGACTACCTGTATTTTTCAATTCCAGAAACATCATGATTTTAGTGGCAGAATTTTAAAAAAATGAGCTTGTCATTCTTTAAATTGATTGCTCTAGTGCCAATTAGTTAGAAAAACTGCTTTCACTTTTCTTAGACCAAGACATTGACTCAAGTTCTACCTTCCATTTTTAAACCTTATTTCTAATCTATATTCTCAGTTTTATTTTCAACAATGGTAAAACATGAAATGCTCCTTATCACCTCATTCATTTGCCAGAAGATCATATTATCATAATAATCCTGGTATCCAAGAGTGGCAGCCAGTAAAGTAGCTGAACAGCACCAGATGCTAATAAAGCAATCCATGCCTATTTTCAGCTTCTTTTGGTCTGAAATAAAACTATGCCCTAATTGCCCATCCAACCACAAATTTGTGGATTTAATTATACAGCTGAGTTCTACAATACAATACTTAGATGAAAACAGCATATTTTGTACATCCCTGAATGAAACAGAGCAAGAATGGCAAATGTTTTAAAGGACAGATCAAAAAAATTACCAACAATACATAGGTGGATTAGCAATGAAAAGTAAAATTGAAGATATAGTATTTGGCAAGCATACTTTGTGGAACAATTAGATGATGGCATAGCATTTCCAGAATGATCTTTCTCGCCTATTTTTCAGTAGCAAGTTTATAATTTTTTCTTTGCTAGTTTACTGGAAGCAAACAGCCAGTTAACAGACGAGTGGGAAGGTTTTGCTGTAGCAAGGGGTTACAGAAGTGCCAGGAGGTAAAAAATTGCTATGATGGGCCAACAGAACCTGACAAGAGGAGAACATAGATACAGTGGGGCAAAAAAGTATTTAGTCAGCCACCAATTGTGCAAGTTCTCCCACTTAAAAAGATGAGAGAGGCCTGTAATTTTCATTTATTTGCAAATCATGGTGGAAAATAAGTATTTGGTCAATATCAAAAGTTCATCTCAATTTTCATCATAGGTATACCTCAACTATGAGAGACAAAATGGGGAAAAAAATCCAGAAAATCACATTGTCTGATTTTTAAAGAATTTATTTGCAAATCATGGTGGAAAATAAGTATTTGGTCAATATCAAAAGTTCATCTCAATTTTCATCATAGGTATACCTCAACTATGAGAGACAAAATGGGGAAAAAAATCCAGAAAATCACATTGTCTGATTTTTAAAGAATTTATTTGCAAATCATGGTGGAAAATAAGTATTTGGTCAATATCAAAAGTTCATCTCAATTTTCATCATAGGTATACCTCAACTATGAGAGACAAAATGGGGAAAAAAATCCAGAAAATCACATTGTCTGATTTTTAAAGAATTTATTTGCAAATCATGGTGGAAAATAAGTATTTGGTCAATATCAAAAGTTCATCTCAATTTTCATCATAGGTATACCTCAACTATGAGAGACAAAATGGGGAAAAAAATCCAGAAAATCACATTGTCTGATTTTTAAAGAATTTATTTGCAAATCATGGTGGAAAATAAGTATTTGGTCAATATCAAAAGTTCATCTCAATTTTCATCATAGGTATACCTCAACTATGAGAGACAAAATGGGGAAAAAAATCCAGAAAATCACATTGTCTGATTTTTAAAGAATTTATTTGCAAATCATGGTGGAAAATAAGTATTTGGTCAATATCAAAAGTTCATCTCCCTCTCTCATCTTTTTAAGTGGGAGAACTTGCACAATTGGTGGCTGACTAAATACTTTTTTGCCCCACTGTAATTGGCAGAGAATGTTTCTGATACAGGATGTACTATTACTAGTTAAAAAATTTCTGGTAGGGCTGCAAATTACCAGAGTTTCTTGAGGCTGCTAACAACTGTACTAGTACTCTATCTGGATCAATAGTTAATGCTATCTCAGACAGGGTGGACACATGACTTCTCCCTTGAGCTGGACAAGAACAAAAATTTCAACCCAGTTTTGCATAAGGGGGGTTAGGGAAGCTGCACGGACCACATGCTGCTTTCTGCTGCTTTAAGCCTACTACAGTCAGGTCCAGAAATATTGGGACATTGACGCAATTCTAACATCTTTGGCTCTATACACCACCACAATGGATGTGGAATGAAACAAACAATGTGCTTTAACTGCAGACTGTCAGCTTTAATGTGAGGGTATGTACATCC